AAGAAATGTGGAGAACTCATGGGGTTCTCTGTGCATGTAAGATTTTTAATGTTGGGCTCTGAAGGATTTTTAATCTAAATTTTAGTTTTAAAAGAAACTGAGAAGCATAAATAATTGCATTTTTTTATTTTTTTCTTGTAATGGTAAGATCATATTTTTTTTTGGTAAGATAATTTTGCATTCTTAACAAAATAAAAACAGTTAATGTGAGTGTTACTTTTAACTCATGCCAATTAAATATTGCATCTCTTATCCACACCGACTAATGCAATTGCTTTAGTTCTTTTAATCAATTCAAGTGCTATTCTCAAAGATAAAAAAAATTCTCAGTTTGACGTTTTGGAGTAATGTAATGAATATTTGACCTTTTAAGTGTAATATATGTATTGTTAGCACTTGAATGAAAAGTCTATATGTTTAGGTATATTGAATCGGTATAAGATTTATGTATATTTTATATGCTTTATTTATTTAATGTAAGTTTTGCCATATTTTGTATTTATATGTTTCTTTTAAGAGAAAATGACTAGAATATACCTAAAAAAGTTTTTGTCACAAATATAAACCTTAACAATTAAAATGAACAAAATAATAGTTAAATGTTTTATTTAATATACATTTTACCCCTTGGGTTAACTAATCCTAGACTTTTTTTGTTTAAAGTTGAGGAGTGGGGTTTGGGGATAGGGTTTCAAATTTAAAAAAATAAAAAACTTAAAATTTTCAAAATAAAAAGTGCTATTTTGGTCATTTTAATTTTGAGGTCTATTTTTATGATAAAAACTTAAAAGAGGGCTATTTAAGAGAATTGCCCTTCTTTTATTTTCAAGGTAATTATCATTTTCATGTTGGTTTTAGCTCAAGTATTTTGAACAAAAAAGTTTGTTAATGATTTTTAAATTTAAATACATGATATTTGATATTTTAGTAATGTATAGATTTAGAAAAGGATATTATAAGTAATTAAAAATTGAGATTTGTATATATTTTACTGTATAGTGGTTAGTACTCTTAAATATTATTAGATTTCTGGGGTTTTTCATTTACTTAGAATATACATTTCTTCTATTTTTATAAATAGTATTATTAAATAATATGATAGATTTTCTCATTTTCATATTATAATATCTGAAATATACTATTTAGTTTATAATTTGAGTATTTTTTAGTAACTACGCTTAGCATGGGATATGTTACTTTGACCTCTGATATGTTGTGTACAAAAGACTATAAAGTTTATTTGTTTATGTGGATTTGTACATTAAAAATACAAATTTGTTTAAGTTTTTAATTTACTTTTTACTAAATAATTATTCAAACTATTTAGGGATCATAAACCAAAACATAAACATTATCATCTGAAAGTAAATTTATTGCCAAAATACATTAAAAAGGTATGCAGCAAAAAATATCAGAAAGCAAAAGAGTTAAAAGTCAGATAGGAACTCTAAGATTATTTGTTTAAATTGTTTTAGATAAGAAATTAAATTACAGAGCAAAAAAAACGTCATAATTTTAGTATTTTGACAAAGGTTTACCTGCAATAACCAAGAGATTATTTTTTTTGGTAAAAATGTTAAGATAACCAAGAGATTTAAAAACATCCGACTAAATGCAGATCAGGATAACTATTGTTTAAAAACCAGCTTTCCCTATGATGTGTATTATAGTGTTATGGAACTAACATTCCTTTTGAGTTGGTTTCTTAATGGAACCAGTTGAGGATGGTGGCTTCAGCGAGGACATCACGTTCATGGTGACTGATTATAGTCTTTTTGTCATGTTCATGGTGAATTGGTGGTGATCACGATGCATGTCGGAATAGCTACTCATGTGGTCATGATCTCTTCCCCGTTGATGTATGTCTCATATATCTACTTGATTCTTGAGCTCTGCTCCTCTCTTTGATCTGAAATTAGTAGTTTTTCAGCCAAAAAGGTGAAGCATTTGAAGAGGTTTGCCAATAATTTTGTTTAAGAGCTTAGGAAAGTAAACCTCAATTATTCTTCGGTTCCTTGTGAACTCTGTACTTTTTCTCTCGAAGACATACAGAAGATAACTATAGACTACACCGAGAAAGAACAAAAAAATTACAGTAGAAAAATCCTATTATTTATTACTACCTGTCACCTGAAGCTCTTACTAAATTGTCGTGGATCAGCATGAAACCCAAACGAAGCTTGCCTTCAAAATGATAAGCTAATTGATGAACACTAAAGGCAGTAGATAAGATTGTTGATAGTGCTAAATGCCAATTACATAATAGTGACATAGATATAGAGATAGTTTGATGCTCCAATATTTAGCTCTAACAGGCCCAGGAAATTAAAAAGAAAAAACATAAGCATGTTCATCTACAAATAGTTGCGGTAGCAATGACTACGACGAAAGAAATAAATATATAAAGGAAACACAAAAACTACGGTCAAAAGAGAACGTTCACAGTATTTCATCTAACTATTAGTAGCTGTCTTCAAGTGTTGTAAGGAAACACAAAAACTACGGTCAAAAGAGAACGTTTACAGTATTTCATCTAACTATTAGTAGCTGTCTTCAAGTGTTGTATTGTGCCTGATTAGATGAGCAAGTGATTTGATTTTCAAATTATTCTCTAGACCAAATTGACGAAGTATTTGTAATCTACCAATGGAACCATCATCATCTACAATCTCACAAAAAAAACTAATGTTGTAAGCTGGCTTACACAGATAGGTAAACCAAATCTTTTGTATGCCCTGCTCTTTTAAGAACACTGCCTTCTCTGTATCTCAAAGGAAATATAATATCAAGACGACTGAAATTCCAAGGCTTTGAATCTTTTGATGCGAGAGCTAATATTGTTTGTGCCCTATCACAACACCCTTAGACACATGTGGATGTTCATTTTTAGCATCCTGACAAAGATTGTTTACATTCTCTTCATTAGAGCAGTAAGAGTCTCATGGTTTATCAACTGTAACTACAAAAAAAAACGTTTGTACTTACCACATAAACTGTGAAGGGCATGCTAAGTTTGTCCTCATTCTACCTCGGCGTCACCATTAAAGGAAGCTTTAACCTTCTCAAATCCTCGCCTTTTATATTCACACATGATTCCAGAGCCATGTTGTTACTACAGAAGCTATAGCTTCAGGTTTGATACCAACGATGCAAACCTAATCAAATCCTTCAGTCTCTATATCCTCATCATCAACAATAATTACCAACTGCAAACCAAAATATTTTTTCTCTGTGCAGTAATGAAGAAGAAGATATATGCCTACCTTTTCATTAATCTAGAGCCAGTAAAACCCCATGAGTTCTCCACATTTCTTGACGTTCGGCCTCCCAAAAACATAATAAACAGAAAGTTATCCTGCTAAATATGAGATATTTTAAATAAAACAATTAAGTTACCGAAAACTATAAATACAATCACCATAAGTAAACTAAATAAGTCATCCCACATATAATTGTTTTCCGATCAAACCATAGACCTCAACCATACTTTAAAACATACATTATTTTTAAATAATGATCACAAAAATATATTCAAACATACCACTTCCACTCACCATCTTGATACATAGACAGAATTTTTTTAAGAATAATATATTTTCAAAACTTTTTGAAACAGATTTTTTAGAATTTTTAAATTTAATATTAATATTTAAAATGAAAAATATCAAAAACTATTATGATTAAAGTAGTTTAGAAATCCTATATATTATTAGTCTTAATAAAAAAAATAAAAAATGGTCCAAATTAAAAAAAAAAAAAACAGATGAAATAAGTCATGACTTCTATTTTAGTAGTTAAGATAAGATTTATTCAAAAAAATTAGCATAAATATATACTCATATCAAACATACATTTTTCATCTTCAGCCTTGAGAAAACATTTGAGTCCACTACTCTTAGTCTTAGTCAGCCAAACTTCACGATGCTAAGACCACTCCTTTCTTATGTCCTGCAAAAACATTCAAAAGCCTCTCATACCCATCTTTGTAATACTCAAGAGACACACATAATTGCCTTATGGCCTCTCTTTTCTGCTCCGCCACTTCTGATGTATCCACTCTAGTCCTCTCCACTTCTTCTGCAAGCTCACTCGCCTGTCTTCTTAGCCTCACGTGCTCCAGGTGAAGCTCCTCCATATGCTTTTCCATTTCCTTTATCGTATCTTCTCTCTTCTTGATCTCTCCTCTTACCACATTGCTCTCATCTTTCATAACACTTATCTTCTCGGATTCTCCTTTAAGCTTCTTCTCTATTCCAGCTTTCTCTTCTTTGATCAGCCTAATATGTGATTCCAGCTCTCTCAATTGCTCTCCAAGTTGCCTTCGTTCTTCAAGAAGCTTGGACATTTCTCCCTTTATCTGTGCTTTCTCTGGGAATATCTTCTCTTCAGCGTCAGAGACTGCTGTTTTCAGCGACCTTATCTCGTTATCTCTGTCCTGTAAACTAGTTTTCACCATTGCAAGTCTCTCAGCCAACTTCAAGACTTCTTTCTTCTCTGTGTTGAGCTTGTTTCTGAGAGTATCCGCGTCTTTTTGCGCAAGCTTTAGCTCATGTTGGACTCTCTTAAGCTTCTCCTCTGCAGCTTTACTGATCTCAACCTCGTTTTTAAGAGAAGAGATCTTTTTCTCAAAGTTCTGAAGCTTCTCTTTGGCAATACTCAGCTCTTCCTCCACAGCCTGCACTTTTGTAGCTGCTTCATCTTCAAGACTCTCTTGAGTTTTTTCTCCAGAGGACATGCAGCTCTGAAGCTCAACCATCAGATTAGAAATCTCTTCTTGCATTTTAATCTTTTCATTAGCTTCTCTAAGCTCTCCTTCATAAACAGTAGTTTTCTGGAGGAGATCAGTGGCGTTGCTGCTGTCACCATTAACACATTCCTGCTGGAAAAGGAGCTTCTCTTTCGTTTCTTGAAGCTCAAGTTCTAGATCAGCCATCCGACGGATCAATGCCTCGTCTCCATCTTCATCACTAGCAGAGGAATGATCAGGAACTGACTTAGAGTCAGAATCAGAACCAGAATCAGTCAACGATGATGAATCTTCCTCTTCCTTATGACGGCGACTCGATGTAGGAGATGATTGCTCAAAAGAGCCCTGTGACTGTATCCCACCAGAGGGATGGTTTTTCTGAAGTTCACCACTAGCTTGATCATAACGCTCAGCCAAAGCGCGATACATGCGATAAAACTCCTCCACAAGGTGGATTAGCTCGGGACGCTTCTGGTAATACATTTGAGCTTTCTTGGCAAAAGAGTCTGCGTCTTCTTCAATCAACTTTAACATGTGGTTCACACGGTTATCCATCTCTGAGAAGCCATAACAAGAACAAGTTCAATACATCTAAGAGGAGAGAGATCTTAATGGTAAGTGAAGTATAATTAACATACTCTCTAGATTCTCTGCAAGCCATTTTGAGTTCTTGGGACAATTGTGACTGTCCCACCACCATGAGTGTGATTTCTTGGTCATAGACCTCTTAATCTGCTTCTTGCTAAGAGCCTGAGACCATCACACAAAAGTGAGTAAATCTTAGGACCAAGAGACCAAAAGCACAAGGACCTAGATAACAGGATGGTTTCTTACCGCAGACGAGGCCATGAAATTGAGCGGTGCAGAGTAACTTAATTAATACTAAAATTCTTGACTGTCGCTGGTATTGAAGATTCGCTTGAGTTTATCGAAACAATTGGGACAAAACGAAGATGAGATAAGAGGAAGAAGACAGGATTGCGCATGCGGCAAAGAAGTCACGTGTAACTTTAACAACTCATCTAGACAGAGGAAGAGGGAGAGGGAGAGAGACAGAGATATGAAACTTATTTGTTCTGATATCAAACCAAACCTTCAACAAACTTAGAAACATAATCAATTTACAAGCAAAGTAGATGGTGAAAGATACTAAGGATAACCACATGTCATTAGCTCAATTTACAAGCAAGTATCATCCCCAATTTCTTCAAAAATATTTGACCTAGAATCTGTTTTCCCTGCATTCCAATAAAGTGGTTCAGGTACATGGAAACCATAAAATGAATTAGGGTCACCTTGATAGACTTGGCCCAAATTTGAGACTAAAAATGGTCGTTGTGGTCCAGGATCAAAGTATTCATATTTTCCTGAATGATCTTTGTTTAACCCAAAAACGTTGTGTTTGTTGAATTTGAACAATACATTTATCTGTAGGTTTAAGAGAAATCTTCATTGAAATCAAATGGAAAGAACATCAAAAATATTTTATTGATTAAAGATTGTATTACAAAGATGATAAAGGATTGTAAAGTGAATCTAAGAATAATTAAAATCTGTACAAGAAAATATTATAGATCTAAAAAGAGGTAAAAAGATCTTCTTTATATAAGAATTAGGGACGGTCGGCGCTGCACGCGGATTATGCTTTATTTGGGATATATATAGATCTACGTTGTGTGTTTTTTTTAAGCATTTGCAAGAAAAGCATATAATAACGATTATGGTTTCTAAGAATGTTTGGGCATGGAAATATTATATCCACTCTGTTCCATATTATAAGTAGTTCAAGAGAAATTTGTTTGTTTCAAAATATAAGTAGTTCTCATATTTTAAGTAACTTTTAATTTTGTTGGGTATTATGTGACTAATCCAATACTGTTAACTTAGTTTAATTATACATAATTTTATATATTGGGATGATTTGTCAGGCTTTATCTTCCAACTTTAGCTTTTTATTTTTAAATCATTAAATTTTACCAATCAAAATATAATTTTATTTTTTAAAAACTAAAGCCTACATAAAGTTTCTATTAATTTCAACCAATTATACTTTATTGTTTTCAAAGCTACAACAACAAAAATAATAAAAACCTTTTTTTCTTATGTGTCTTAGGCACAAATTTATATCCATTTTAATAGGCTGTAAAATCTGTAAAATGAAGAATATCTATTATATAAAATAAATTAGATAATCATAATAAAAACCACCCAAAGTAATTTTACTTAATTTTGGTTACTTTAAAATTATTTAGATATTGAGAATAATATTTATATTATTTACCTATCACAATTTAATGATACTAAACTTTGATAATTTATAACGATTAATATAAATTATTTTAATAAGTAAAATATTTATTTTATATATACATCACATATTTTATTTTCATATATCTACAGCCTATGGATTACAACTACAACAAAACAATTTACAACAAAAGTCTACAATAACAATATTATAGTTACAACGAACTCACCTACAGTTAAATTTTTACAGCCACAGCCAAACCAATCATCACCATTAAATGCTACTTTAAAAATAATAACAACATTCTTAATACTTGTGGATTCAACTACAACTGCCTATATAAAGAAATAGATGGAGTATATGTTAATATTTATAGTATTTGATTATGATGATTGTGTGTATATTAACTTATTAAAAGATTGCGGCTTATGACATATTAAATAGGTTGTATGAGATTTACATGATTTTCTACTTGTATTTTTTATATTATTGAATTCATAATTGGTTTGTTAAATACGATGTTCTGTCTTTTGGGTTTGGAAGAATGAATTTGTTGGTCTTATGATTAACATTGGGATAAATAGCTTGGACTGTAGAAGACTCTAGGAAAATTTGCTAAAATGGGATGAAATTCAAGAGGTTTTGTCCCAATAGTATCCCCTTCTTATTATTTGAGGAGAACTTTTGCAAATAAACCTTTACTTCATGTGTTTATTACATGCATGTTATTTCCTACGTGGCAACTACACAAGCCTTCTCACACCTTTTAGCTAAAAGACCTTAGTTAACTAGAGTAAATACACAACATGCCATTGATATAAATATACATATATGATATAACAATAAAGACATGCATATAGAAGGCGGACTACATGTTTATCTACTCGGCATATAATTAAATTTCCTTATATAATGATTTTGTTACATGTACGATATATTTTATGTATATCATTTTCCATGTAAATATTTTAAATGTAAAACATGCATATAGAATGATTTTGTACATTATTGTACGATTTATTCAAATTCAAAATATATTTTGTTACATAAGTATAAATAAAAATAGGAAAAAAAATTGACCTTATTTCATAATTCCTTATTGTCTATTGGGCATATATTTAATTTTTAAATTTAATATTTTATATTTTATAAAATCAAACTTTATATTTTATATTTCGACAATATGTTTTTGATCTTATAATCGAATTTTATATTTTATATTTCGTGTCTCATCAGAAAATTAAGAGAGTTTCAGTTTCCTTTATATGCATTTGTAGTATTAGTACAAAATACAATTATCTTCAATTAAATTTAATGACCGAATCTGCATGCGTATTTCAGTTTCCCTTATATGCACGAACCATTGATGTTATTGTATTCGAATATTGAATGAATATATTTCATACATCGTCTAATGTCAACTAAAATTAATGACCGAATCTGCATACATATTTCGAATATTGAATGAATATATTTCAGTCACGTAATTTTAGCAACTAAATTTCGGAATGTTTTTATTAGGTAAACGGTTTAATGGTTTCTTTCCAATTGAATGTCAATCAGCTATATATAATATTCTGAATTAAATGAGATATCCATAAATTGGAATTTCCTTGATAGACAAGCGCAAATCGCAAATGTAAATGCTATTTAAACATTGCTATTTAAACATATATAACTCGTATTCTAAAGGTCCATTCAATATTCACACAAGAAAAACTAAACATACACATCTTCTATGGCCGCCATGAACCTTATATCTGAGTTGAAGCCTTTCAAGAACCAATGGAAGGTGCAAGTGAAAATTGTCCGCCTTTGGAAACAGTATTCTGCAGCTGCTGGGGAGACTATCGAAATGGTCTTCCTCGATGCTAGAGTAAGTTAAATTTGAAATGATCGAGTTTTATTCTATTTCTCTTTTTGACGTATGAAGTTTACTTATTTAATTTAATATTCTTGCTACTAGGGAGACAAGATAGCTGGAACCGTGAAAAGAGAACTGGTGGGGCAATTCGATTGTCTGCTACAAGTGGGTCATACCAAAATTCTCATGAATTTCACCGTGACCAGAAGTTGTGGATCTTTTCGAACCAGCAGTCATCCATTCAAGATTGTTTTCCTTCCAACGACCTGTGTACTGAGTTGTGAGGAGTTGCCCAACAACGTAACTGGACTGAATCCTGTTAACTTTCGAGACGTTATGAATGGTGTCCTCGATGATGACTACTTAGTTGGTAAGTAACATTGTCATTTATAATTTTAAATAAATAGTCTATTTAATTTTATATCACATTAGAAAATAGCTTATAATTTTTTTTGTTTAATAATCATAAGGAAAATTGAAGAATATCTCAAACATCGATAGCTTTTCAAAAATCATTTTTGAACCAGATGATGTTCCAGAACTCCATGCATTGAGGAAGAAGTATATCATTTCGATGAGTTTCAAATATTAAAAGAGTGTGTGTTGTTTGGTAAACTAACTAATTGTTATTTTTGTCTGTAGGATTGCAAACCAAGAGTTTTGAAGACAATTTCAATTATTATATCATGTTTAATTTTCTATTTATTATTTTATTTTAATATATTTTTTTCTCATTATATCATGTTTTGTTTCTCTATGTTTTATTATCATATTAATTATTTTTAATTTATTTACTACTTTTTTTAGTAGACGATTTCTGAATTTTTTTTTATCATCATGTATCTATAAGACAAACAGATATATAAAACAAACAGTGAAAACAAATTTCTATGAATCAATGCTTCGTTTCGCAGCTATACTAATATCTCATTATATGACTATATGATTTTTATTACTGATTCACATCCACTACCTATTTTTAGTTAAACAAATTAATATACCAAATTATTGTTCAATCAAAGTCAAAATAATCTCACCCCGCGCAGGGCGCGGGTCAACACCTAGTTTTCCCTTATAAACCATGTCGTAATAGTATTTTGATTTTTATTAATATGTTCCTGCCTTTGGTTAATGATATTAAGTAAATTTAGTTAATAACTTAGAAATAATAAAAAATCCAACTCCCTAAAACTATCCGACCCCATTTCTTCTTCTTCGTCATGTCCTGCAATTTCTTCTCTGCAATCTCTCATCTCCGGCTAGTAAAGTCTCTTACCTTCTTTCTTCTCTATGCTTTCATCCATTTTCTCCACCTTTCACCTTTACTCCTGTCAATTTGCATAATTACATTTAGGGTTTTGCTTGCTTGCTTGTATTGTAGATTGTTTATTTTGGAATTTCTCGTTGATTTATTTGTTGATTAAGTATTGTCCAATGGTTTATACTTAATTTTCTGGCCTGGTTGTTGTGCTTCGCTAATACTTCACATTGGTACTTGCCTCACATGCTAAAGTAGTTCTAACTGGAAGTCGTTTTCACCCTTTTCATCGTAATCGTTGCGACTTCTGTACATTTGACTCATAATCATTGGAAACAGCAAACACAGTGGAAAATTATATATAGTAAAGAGGCAAATTTGCCATCATCAGAAGTTCCCCAGCCAGTAAGCTTAATAGCATTTGTTATGCTGCACCCGTTCTATGCTCTGTCCTACATTGTCTTCACGCTCACTGCATG